CACACTGGTTCAGTGCTCGACTTCTTAATAAAAGGTTCAAACCCACCAGCTGCTCCGCAGGAGAAAGATGCGGCAGTCTGCTTCCATAAGGATTACAGTTTTGGAAACCCTACGGGACAGTTCTACTCTGTCCTACAGGGTCGCTTTGAGTTGGAACGGACTTGCTGGCAACAGGTTTTTGTGTTTATAAAATTGGTAGTAAAGTTATTCAAGAAAAAGGTGGCTTGCTTGGGGGGAAGAAGTTAAGAGATGTCATTAACTTGCTTGTAATAAGTTTGGAAGGAAAATAACTGATAACATATTACCCTGTCAAATTTTCTTTCCATACCCTACTAGGAGACTGTTACGGCTATGATCAGAGGAACAAGGTGTTTTCCAGACAGTTAACACTGCCTGGAAAGAAGAAAATGTTTTGCTAGATCACCTTCTTCTCCAGCCTAATAAAATGAATGGCTGCTTCTAGTAGGACGTAACGATCACACACTGGACCAGTCTGCAAGGCTTCATTTTTATGTGCTTAGTGAAACTGATCTACAAATAACCTGATAAACTTATCTTTTAGCATTTTCATGAAAAACAATTCCGAGAAACTTTCTTTTGGACACAAAATGTCCCTTAAATTTGTTATGTACTCAAGAACACACAGATAATCTTTTATTAGGAAACAGATAAATATATGAAGCTCTAAGCATAAAATTTAAAGAAAAATGTTATTTTACTAAAATATGTTATTTTTACTGCTAACACTTGGGGACATGACTTATGTACAACTTAACACCCAGTAGTGTTTATCATCTTTATAACTTGTGATTCCCAAAGGGAGCTGATAGAACAACAAAGCTATTTTTAAGTAAAATAGCTATTTATTCAGCCTCTTGTCATGCCAAAATCTCTTTGTGCATATACCATTATAAATTACCACACCCTCTGTAACAGGCATACTTATACATCAAATTATATTTCATGTTACCTGATTATATAAAAATGTAAAGTGAAAATGATTTATCAATTCCTTTTAACATTACTAGTAAACAATTCAGCAAGAGATATGAGGCACAAATTCTTAGTAAAATATGACACAGGAAGAATAATGTAATTGTTTAACTTGTCATAATGTTATTAATATACAAAGACAACAAACTTTTAAAACACTATATTTACTAAGATTCTGGCAATAGTTTATGTAACAAGACATAGCATACCAGGCCTGCCACTCAACTTGTTTATGGTAAATCTCAGCTTCAATATGAAGCTGTTAAAAAAAAAAAAAAAATCGAAAACCTGCTTTTCACATACTAAATTTCTTAGCAAGTATGCCATTAAACACAGAAATGAACTTAAGACAGCAAGAGTAAGGAGTTACAAAAGCTAAACATTGCAGCCTAAACAAAATCAATATAAAAATAAAATAACTATCACTGGTTACATAACTGGTGAAAATTTAACAGTATAAAACATGCATTTTAGAATCTTTTAACATCAAGTTCAAAAAGTACCAGTGTCTATTTGAAATGATTACTCTCCAAAGCCAAAGTGTAGTCAAAATTAATTCAAATGACATAACACATTCTAATGCTAAAAAATATTCAGTATTATTAAAGTGGAGGTAAATTTCAGAACTTTTGGGGCTTTCTCATGCTGCGAAGAGCTACTTCTCTGGTTCCCTCAGAGCAGCACAGACAGAGTCCAAGGATGTCATTAAGCTCAGAAAAGAACAAGACTGCTTATATCCAGCTCTGACCTCCCCAGGAAGCATGGCTGCTGCACCCACAAAAACAGGATGTGTGAGGATCAAAGGCACGCTATTCCACTAGCTAAAGAGATAGCAAACCACCCTCCCCCTCCCAAAAAGCTCCTTCCCCAGGTAAATAAAACTATACAAGGGAAAAAAATAAAATAAAATACACTTATCTACAGAGTAAGAATTCTGAAATATCAATGTAATCCTTACTTCAAAAATGTTAGCAGAGTCATCTGGAAATTTCTGCATATATCTTAAAGATGTATCCAGCTTCAATTTCCGGTGATTTACACTTAAGATACTTCTAGTAAAAAATACTCACTTTATCCCCAAATATCTTAACCACTAGTACAACTGCAGTGTATTATCTTCCAAAGCTACTAAGCACTGGAAGAGAGAAAAAAAAGATGTTCAAGCAGCAGGCAACAATTATGGCCCTTTTACACAGCGGCATCTGAGTGGCTACTGAAAGTCCAGGAATAATTTTAAAAACAAGAAAATTCATGCATTTTAGTAAATACATCCTAATTCTCACAGCTGAAATTTCCTTAGACATTGCACTTTCTTTTTAAGGGAATCCTGATTTTTCTTAATGTTATGGCGAGTCAGAACTTGAACTAGCAGCCTTCTTTTTCTTCTTCTTATTGTGTTTCTTATGCTTCTTTTTCTTTTTTGTTTTTTCCTGTAATGACAGTTACGTGTTAGACATTACTACATGAAAATATGAAAATTGAAAACAACTTTAGCATGGTACTTATGAGCTACTACAGAGTTATTTCAAACAATTCACACGAACAAGCTACTCAAAATAAAGATGAAACAGCAAGTCCTGTCACATTTCTCTAAAAAGCCCCAACAACCAGTATCATATGAGGAGTAAGAGAGTACTTGTTGACTTTCAAAAAGGTAAGGAAAAACTCTTAAATCATTAGCACATTAATGTAGTTTCTATCAAAATTTCCTGAGGAAAATAAATTCTATTGGACCATGCTACCAATTACTATATTTCATGTTATATAAATGTTATACATAAATTGCAGTTACTGCATAGTCATTACACTATAGCAAAACATAAATGCTTTTGTAAAATGACATTTTCCAGAGAAAACAATGCTACTGTCAAACAAATGGAATGCAGCTATTGTGTACTGCTTGTACTTTTTGTTGTTCTTCCAGCTGCCGTTTGAAATCAATTCTGACTCATGGTGATCCCATATGTGTGTCAGAGTAGAACTGTGCTCCACAGGGTTTTCAGTGGCTGATTTTTTTGAAGTAGATCACCAGGTCTTTCTTCTAAGGCAAATTTCCAACCTTTCAGTTAGCAGCCAAGTGAGTGCACTAACTGTTTGCACACCCAGGGACTCCCTCAGAGACTCCCTTAACTATTAAATTAACACCAACTAATTAGTATAAAATATTGATGTAGAGTTGAAAAATCTATTTAGCTTAGTAAAACAGATGCTTTATTTTTAGAGGAAAATACCACTGAAGCCTAGTAAAAAGAGCCAAATTGTGATTGGATAAAACAGAGCTGGTGTTTTGCCGAATTCTTAGTCTCTTGACTGTGTCTGCTGTAGAAGAGAAGGCAGAACTTTTAAGAACAGATATACCTGGAAAACCAAAAACCAAACCCATTGCCATTGAGTCGATTCCGACTCATAGTGACCCTATAGGACAGGGTAGAACTGCCCCACAGAGTTTCCAAGGAGTGCCTGGTGGATTCGAACTGGTAGCCTTTTGGTGAGAAGACATAGCTCTTAACCACTATGCCACCAGGGTTTCCTAGAAAGGTAGTATCAAATGAAAGACTACTGCCAGTGTTGATATTTGGGAGAAGAAAATGAAAAGCAAGAAAGGAGAAGGGACATATCAGGGCAGTCACAGCAGAGCTTCCTATCCATCTTCTCATCTATTAGCACTATCCACAATTTCCGTTCTCTCTTTTGAAGGCCTCTACTAGTTTGTGGCTCTAAGCTAGCTTTAATCATTTTTTTTTTCTTCACTATAAGCTGAAAGTATGTACAGTCCAAAATTTTCTAATTTGGGCTTCTAAAACTAAGTTTTGGATATGGGCTACATTTTCATAAAAGAATAGTTGACCACCTTATTTTAAAAATTCTAAAGCATTCATATTGGTTCTTTGCTTAAAATCCTCAAAGTACCTTCCTGTAACACTGAATAAAATCCAAACAGTGATATGTGATATGGCCTCTGCTTACATTCCAACTCACCTTGTGCCATTCCTCTTTACCTACTAGAACTGAGCCATGCTTACCTTCTTTCAGTTCCTCAAACCTATCAAACTCATTCCCACCATAGGTCCTTAGCTCTTCCCTTTGTCTAGGATGTTCCTTCCTTCTATCTTCATATGGTTAGCTCATTCTTGTGTATCAGATTTCAGCTTAATTTTATTTGCTCAGAGAGGCTTTCTCTATCCCGCCCCGTGGTCGCTTTCACAACTCACACTTCTATCTATCTTATCGCTAAGACCTACAGCACTGCCTGCATAGAGTTGCTTAATATATAAATACTAGCTGAATGAATGAAATAGTGAAGGTATGTTACTATAAATTACAATTATCCAAAATTAATATCTGAACCAAAGACCAGAGCAGGTTTCACCCAAATTATTTTTTTTTGTTCAGGAAAAAGTTTGTTACTTTGGTCTTGAAGCATATAAAATGTTATTTCTGAATCACATATTACCGGGGGAACCTTCTTATCAGAGGAGGTCCTTCATTTCAAAAGGTAGTGAAAGTTCTGGGAAGACGTACCCACAAACCTACAAACAACGCTGTTTTTCTTTTACCTCTCCCTAAGAAAATGCCTCTAAAGGCCATAGCTTGCACTTACACTGAGTGGTCCTAAGTCATTTTGCTGATACGGCTGGTATTACTCTTTGATTATCTGTTATCTAACTTCCCTCAAGTTGGTGTCCTTCTCATCTAGGATGCTACTTCCATTCCCCTTACTCTCCTCTGCTTTCTCTTTTACTGCTTCTAACATTTGGTAATAGCAGAGCCTGCCTTTAAAAACTATCAAAAGAATCATCTGTATCAGTTAAGTCATTTATGTTGTCACATTCCTGCTTATTTTTCGTTGCAGCTTGTGCTTAGAGTGGCCTTTTCTGTTATTACCAGGTTTCTGGCTGATCTGGAAGTAACTAATATCAAAGACTGTGGGAATCACCATACTTTAGTCTCATATTTCATACTATAGTTTAAGAAAGGCAAACAAAAGTTTGAGCTTACATTTCTAACACTGAAATACAAAAATGGAATTAGAAAGTCTGCTATCAATGCAAGCATTTTTCCTTTTCACTGAGTGTTTAACTATGTCCTACCTATTAAGTGAAGCTGCTGAAGACCACACTTTTCCTAACAAATATTTATTTGATCTCAGTAAATTCAATCAAACATCTATCATGACTCATTTCATATTAAAAATAGCTATACTGTTGTCATGTAAAAACATAAGTGATACTTGCTGTTGCTTTTTCTCGTTCTTCACTGCTTTTCTTCTTTTTTGCTCGTACCTAAAAAGTGTAAATTTTTGTGGAGGAACAGAAGACAGGTATGTAATTTGTACTCAAAGCATTTTTTAAAAAAACCCTAATATATCTTCCATCTTTAAGATTTATATGTAAAAATCATTTTAACCATCAAGTAACATTTTAAATGCCTTGTTATACCTCAACCCCGTATCTCAATGAGGTTTCAATGAAAAATTATTTAAAGGAAATAAAATTAAGATTTTAAAGCCCTAGAGGGTTTCTCTTGTATTCCCCTTCAGCACCTAAAAAAAAAAAGCAGTGTGGTACTGTGGACAAAAACATGAGGCCTGAAATAGGACAGACCAAGATCTGAATCCTGCCTCTGCTGTTAATTAGCCTCAGTTTCATCAGATGTAAAATGAAGACAATATCTACACTCAAGGGGAAGCATCTGAAATATGCAGCAGGTATTCCTCTCACTCTATGGTGCCCAATAAACGGCAGCTATATATACAGAGTGCACGTATAAATCAACTGATTAAAATCTTTTTGAGTAACAATTATCACCCCATTAATATTTCATTTAAATATTTTAAAGTGTGATAAAATAGATTTAAATAAAATTCAAAGTTGCTAAATCTCATGTATATTTGATGTTAAATCCAAATGTAACATTTTATATCAAGCTCTACTTGGTATCATGTAGCAGACAAACATAATTAATAGAACATAATACTAAAACCTGAGACCCACTGCAGTCAAGTCGAGTCCGACTCACAGCCACCCTACAGAACAGAGTAGAACTGCCCCATAGGGATTCCAAGGAGTGGCTGATGGATCTGAATTGCTGACCTTCTGGTTAGCAGCCTGAGCTCTTAACCACTGTGCCAATACTAGAGGATAAAAATTACCTAAATGCTGTGCTTACTGTGTATTTTACCTAAGTGACTACATATTAAATAATGGATAGAAATACACAAAAATATAACAAACAATATAAGGGAGCATCAGGACTAAAGGAAGAGAACACATAAGCAGTAGAGACCATTCGCTCTCAACAGGGGTGGCAGCTCTTTCTAGGAGGGCACTTAGAAAATTCCTGTTTTTTGTTGTTGTCATCACAGTGAGTGGGGGTGGTGGTAGTTGTGCGTCATCCACGTTCAGCCAGGCAGTGACAAGGGATGCTGTCAGGCATGTTCACGACAGCCTTGCACATTCAAGAACTGTCTCACTCACTGCATGACTTTTGAATAGCCTGCTGAACATTCATGTAGTGAACCCACTTACAGTAACTAAATTTAATGTAAATATGAACACAAGTATTTTGTACAGGGTTACAAGACACACTGAATGTCCCACAGGTACAAGTATCATGTAAGTACAAGAAAGACTTAGCTTTACTAAGAAGTGTCCACCATGCTGGAAAATGTCACTGATGGCAATGCTGTTGTATGGTATTTGAGGGGCCATTACAATGTACCTGTTACAGTCTGCATTTTGTTGTATCCTAAGATTTTGTATCTTCTAGTGTCATCATAGGAGCCCTCGTGGTACAGTGGTTAAGAACTCGGCTGCTAACCAAAAGGTCGGCAGTTCGAATCCACCAGCCACTCCTTGGAAACCCTGTGGGGCAGTTCTACCCTGTCCTATACGGTCGCTATGAGTCGGAATTGACTCAATGGTAACATGTTTGGTTAGTGTCATCAGGCCCAAGCACCTACATACTGACATATAATTTCATAAAATTACAAATTATTATTATTCTTATTTGCTCTTTATATTTTTGTTAGGAGATATCATTTAAAAAATTTGCGTAGATGGGTTATGTTAGCTACAAATTTCATTTCAGGTGGCATTATAGAACACTGCTATAAAAAGGGAGCAACAGGCCTGAGAGGACTGAGGGCCATTGATGCAGACAAATTGCAATGAAGTCAGAAAGGAGACAGACAGGCACAAACAAAAGAAAAGACAGGACTTGGTGAGTGGGGAGACAAGGAATAGAGCAGACAAAGACAAAGATGGGTGGTGCTGATGCAGGAGGAAGCCAACACAGAAATGATACAGAATCAGGAAAACTAGCTCTTGTGGCAAATTACCACTACCCCTGTAATCAAGGGCTAGGCCCTCAACTTTTTAGATTACATGGCTGTGGAATTTGATCTCTAAAGAAAGTTGCATTTTAAAAGGCAATGATTCTAATGCAACTGTGGGTTAGATTTTACTGTAACATACAATAAAAATCACGCAAACTTTCACCAGCATTTACTTGGCCCAGGTATTATGTAAAACATGTTACAATTCATCATCTCATTTAATTCTTACAATAAAATGATTGGCTCCTATTTACAAATGAGGAAACCAAGGCCAAGAGAGAAGAAGCACTTTAAAGATGACAATTTACAGACCTGAAATTAACTAATGACTCTAATTCCAATAGAGTACAAAATCTAAGATAGGTATTAATTAAGCTGAAAAGGACTGTGGTGATTACCTAATTTACATCCTTTGTTTTATAGACAGGAAACCTGAGGCCATACCAACATTTCTTCTCCGCCTCATCACCTTTCTACTTCCCAAATAGTAGCTCATAACAAAAACAAATAAATTGAGACAGTATGTGGAGATACAGTTAATCATCAAAGCAACAGTCATGTAATTATCTTCTGGAAAAATGCAAAACTAGTTCTGAAACACAGTAACTTCCATTTCTTTTTCATATTAAATCATTCTAGAAAAGTGAATAAATCAACTATTTATGAAGAATTTGTTTTTACTAATTCATATTTATTAAATCAAATAACTAAACATTTTAAAGTAGGGAAATTTTGATCATATACTTACCTCCTCAATATAATCTGATTCTGACAAGGACTCAGCAGATAAAAGTTTATCTTCAGGATACATCTTTCTTTTCTTGCTGAGTCCTTTAATGTCCTATAAAAAATAAATATATGTGTCTCTCCACTCAAAGATAACAGTGTTTTACCATAGACATTTTATATTACTAAATTTTATTGAACAATTCTTTCAATTACCGTAACAGTATCCATTTTCATTTTGGAAATGTCTAAAAATTGTGATTTACCAGGATTTTAGTCCTTAATTCCACTAAAGCAATACTTTTAGTAACTTAAATAGCAATAACTACCTATCCATTTAGACATAATATCCTCATTTTCTTAAACTATTTATGATAGGGAATAAGATTTGTGTTTCTACATTCTAATTCTTTTGTTTCTAAACAAGGTTGGATAAAAAACAGGCCTAATGCTACAGCAAAGAAAATCAATGGGTAATTATTAGTAATTAAGAGAGTTTCTGTACAGTAATTCCTTTAGTGTGTGTAAAGTGTCAAATTTAGATTAAAAAAAATCTTAATCTCTAAGTTTGTTTAATGATGAGAAAATGAAAGTAACTCGGGAAGAAGGGAAAGAGATTGAGAAGGGTACTTAGGAACTTCAAATACATAATACGTACACACACATACCTTTAATTTTATTGTTTAAAATTAAAATTTAAATGTCTCTTAATTTTATTTAACAAAACATTTGCCATTTTAACCATTTTTAAGTGTACAATTCACTGGCATTAATTACATACACTATGATGTGCAGCCATCACCACTATTCCCAAAAGTTTTTCAACATCCCACAAAGAAACTCAGTACCCCTTAAGCAGTAACTTCCCCACTCAGCCATGGTTACCGCTAACAAACTTTTGTCTCTATGCACTTGCCTATTCTAGACATTTCATGTAGGTGGGGTCATATAATATTTGACCTTTTATGTCTTATTTCACTTATGATGTTTTCAAGGTTAGCTCATGTTGTAGCATGTATCAGAACTTCATCTCTCTATACAGCCGAATGATACTCCATGTATGTATAAAGTATACTTCGTTTATCCATTCGTCTGCTGATGGACACTTAGGTTGTTTCCGACTTTCGGCTATTGTGAATAATTCTGCGGTGAACACTGGTGTACAAGGATCTGTTTGAGTTCCTGCTTTTAAGTCTTTTGGTTATATTTCTAGGTGTGGAATTGCTCGGTCATACAGTAGATCTGTTTAACTTCTGGAGGAACTGCCAAACGGTTTTTCACAGCAGCTACATCATTTTACATTCCCATTAGAAATGTACAAAGGTTCCGATTTCTCCTCATTCTTGCCAATACTTGTTATCTTCCATGTTTCTGATAATAGCCATCCTAGTGGGGATGAAGTGGTATTTCACTGTGGTTTTGATTTGCATTTCCATGATGACTAAGGATCTTGAGCATCTTTTCATGTGCTTATTGGCTATTTCAAATATATATTTTAAGAAATAAAACTTAAACAAAAACATCTGAAGTAAGATGGCAAAATATCAAGATTTACTAAAGCTGTGTAATGGATATGCTGGTTTTCACATTGTTATTCTCTATATACTTTTCTGAATGTCTGGTAGCATTTCACAACAACAAAAACAACAAAACCACCCAATGGAAAAAATGCTAACCACCTAATCTTACACAGAAAAAGCAGGGTACAGAACTTTACATACAATATGAGCCCAATTTCGTTTTTAGGGAAAAAGAGAGAGACATGGATAAGCAGGAAAAAATCAAGTAGAAAATAACAGTGATTGTATCTGTTGGATTATAGGTGTCTTAATTTTGTTTCTGCAAACAGCTTTATTATTTTGGTAAAAATTATAAACATTGTTGGTAAGAAATTTTGGGAACATCTTTCTCTGTGCATATTTACAATTTCACATAAATACTTTTTGTTTTGAACCTGCTCTTTTCACCTAATAATGTATCAAGAACATCTTTCCATGTCAACTACATCATTATTATGCTAGCCTATGACATTCATTGTAAGTATATGTTCCAATTTACTAACACATCTTCTTCTGCAAGACAGACATATGGGTTCTCTACTAAAAAGAAAGGTAAAATAGAGTGAAGAGCATTCAAGTGCAAATCTTTATTCAATATTAATGACTAAACCAAAGACCAAAATAGCCTTCACTCAAATGATTTTCTCGTTCTCCCAAACAACCCCACAAATCTTGTTTCTTGTTTGTCACTCACTTATGAGTTTATCAAGTAAACTTCTTTATTAAGCTTATCAATCTCTGATAACTTGAATTTTATTTGTATTTTTATTTTTTCAGAACTGCCTAAACATGTATATTGCCAACTTTTCTTTGTTTGTGAAGTATTCTTTTCCTTAATTATTTGGAAGATTATTAAGTTTCTTTCTTATGCATTTTTTTTTTGTATTTATTTTTTTATTATACTTCAGGTGAAGGTTTACAGAACAAATAGTTTCTCATTAAACAGTAGTACACATATTGTTTTATGACATTGGTTAACAACCCCATAACATGTCAATCCTCTCCCTTCTTGACCTTTTTTTTTTTGGTGAAAATATACATAGCCAAAGATACACCATTTCAAAAATTTCTATATGCACAGTTCAGTGACATCGATTACGTTTTTCCAGTTGTGCTGCCATTCTCACTTTAGATGAAGGTTTACAGAACATAATATTTTCTCATTAAACAGTTAGTACACGTTGCCCTATGACAATGGTTAACAACCCCAGTACATGCCAACACTGCCTTTACTCAACCTTGGATTCCCTATCACCAGCTTTCCTGTCCCCTTCTGCCTTCTAGTCCTTGACCCTGGACTACTGTGCCTTATTAGCCCCGTTCTGTTTCATAGGGCTGTCCAATTCCCGGCTGAATGGTGAACCTCAGAACTGACTTCACCACTGAGCTAAAAGGGTGTCTGGGGGCCATACTTTCAGGGTTTCTCCAGTCTCTTTCAAGTAAATTTGGTCTTTTTTTTTTAATGCATTTCTTGTAGTTTTTCTTAGTCTGTTCATTGCATTTAAACTTTGTTTATGGTTTTTCGCTTCAATTACTTAACTGAACTAGTCAATCTGCTTAAAAGTTTGAGTTTTGAGGCATGGGGTTTCCCCACCCCAATATTATCAAAATATTTACCCTTGCAATTCTCTAGTTACCTTTTATACATTTAATCTTTGACCTATCTGGGATTTACTTGGCTTGAAGGATGTCCTGCTTTATATTTTACAAATAGCTAGTCACTCTGTCCCAAGAAATGCCATTATTACCATATGCTGAATTCCACAAATACTTAAATTGTTACTGGACTCTACACTGTTTCACTGTTTTGTTTATTCCTATACTAACACCATATTGTTTTAATTAAAGCATTTTTACATTTTAGTATCTAGTAAGGCAAGTTATTATCAAGAACATGTTATAACTCTCCATTTATTAAATCTTTATACATATCCCTGAGTAGACTTGTATAGTATAGTTTTCTTCAAATAAATTCTGCTACTTCTTTAAAAATTTTCTGTGTATTTTTGGCTATGATTATACGTGGGATATTTTCTTCCATGTATTTTCTAATCTGGTATTATGTTTTTTTTATACTTTATATAGAAAAGTTAAAGATTCATGTGTATTGATATATTACTGGCCCCCTTACTGAATTTTCTTATTTTTATTGTTTTGTCAGTTTCATCTCATGTGTTTTCCAGGTATACAGTCATACCATTTTCTTGATCGTTTTTACATTTTTAATTTTGCTTTTTTATCCAGGCGAAGCCCTTGTGGTGCAGTGGTTAAGAGCTTGGCTGCTAACCAAAAGGTTGGCAGTTCAAATCCACCAGCTGCTCCTCGGAAACTCTATGAGGCAATTCTACTCTGTCCTGTAGGGTCACTATGAGTTGGAATCAACTCAATGGCAATGGGTTTGGTTTTCTTCATTTTTTTATCCAGGTGCGCTGCCTAACACTTTCAGAACATTTTAAATAATGGGGCTAAAGACAATGACTGATATATATGACTCAAAAAGAAAACCTTTATATGATTATTATAAATACCATAAACAAAGTTAAGAGAAGCCACAGTCCAAAAAATGTAAGTCATGTATATGAAGGAAGAAGAGTACCCAAAATAGACCTCTTACAAATCAGTAAGATCAAAAACAATTCAACAAAAACAAAAAAATGAGCAAAGACAAAATAGGCAGTTTAAAAGGGAAATCTGAATGGCTAATAAACAAATGAAAAGACTCATCCATTGACACCCATTAAAATGGCATAAATAAAAATCTCAAAATGTTGACAAGCATGTGGAATAAGGATACTGTCACACACTACTAGCGGGAATGCAAATGAATAAGAACTTTGGGAGCAAAATGTAGACAAGCCAAAAGTACGCACATCCTAGGGACTAACAATTATAATCCCAGGTGCACCTTAGGAAAGAAATAATCACTTTTCTGGAAAGGAGAAATGGAAAAATGAGAAATGGACAAGAAATATCCACTGTAGTACTGTTCGTATTACTGAAAACTGGAAACAATCGAGATTCCACAAACAGGAGAATCGATAAATAAATTGTGTGGTGAATTAATATATTAGAATACCATAAGCAAAAGAAATGAACTTAAGAGTATCAACAAGAAAACGTCAACAATGTTGAGTCAAAAAAGCAAGTTTCAAAAGGAAATAATATGATACTATTTTGAAATATCATTTTAAAAATACAAAATACTATATGTTATTTATGAACGCATACTTATGTAATAAAGATGTATAAATGTGGATGGGAAGGATACATACTAATCTCAAGAACTGCTGCCTCTGGGAAAGGACAGAGATCGGGGACTTTATTTTAAAGAAACAAAAGAAGACTTGAAGCAAATATGACAAAATGTAAACCATTTGTTAATTCTGGCTGGTGTGTACATGACGTGGGTATTTGTTATATAACTATGTACCTTATATTATTTTGATGTATTTCAAAATCACAATGCCGCTGTTTTATTTCATGTTTGTTTATTACATACAATTTTTTAAACATGAAAGTAGCCGTTTATTTTTATTTAATAGAGGTTTTGAAAATCAGGAATTCATGTGGAATTATATCACATCTTTTTGGCAACTACTGAAACAATCATATGTTTTCCTTCCTTTGATCGATTAACATGGCAAATTATATGAACAGATTTCTTATCATTGAATTTTGGAATTAAGCCAATCTGGTCATGATGGTTTCTTTTTTTAGTGTCTTAATGGATTGTTATTTGTAAACTGACATAAAAATACCAAGTAAAAAACAGTGAGATTGGTCTATAGTTTTCTTTCATTAGTAATTGCTTTCTTTAGACTTTTTTTTATTTTTAATAATAAGAAAAAATTAAAAATGTAAACCAGAAACTTAGATAGGGACAAATTTAAATTAATTATAGATCATAAATGAAGATAAAATACCCAATTACAATAGTAAAATAAAGATTTTTCAAAACTTTATCTATGGTATGCTCAATTAGAAATAGAAGTCCATGTTCTTTAATTACAGAGGCATTATTTAAAATGACTTGAGGAAATGAAAGGATAATGTTTAATTTCAATTATTGGTATTTTTAGTCTAAAATAATCCACTAATCTATACAAGTTCAAACTCTTTTATCTTTAATAATGAATCCAGATAAGTAATTTCCTTAAATCAACATGAAATTTCATAAAAGCAAAATAAATCAATTTCACAAACAAAAAAGGTACACATTACTGTTAATTTCTTAACATAGATTAAGTATTGTACAACTGACTCTAGTGTATCTTAAGGTAATATAAAAGTAACAGTCAATTATACGTTTTACCTTTTCTTTCTCGGTTGCATCCTTTGACTTCTTTTTCTTTTTAAAACTATCCTAAACAAACAAGCAAATACATTTATCAATTTTAAATGTAAAGGATACAGCATTACAGAATAAGAAAAAAAAAATACTGATTTGCCCTATGGCTGAAAAAGTTTTCTTCCACACCAGCATTTTATTCTGAAAATATAAGAGAAATACAAGTTACATGTATACTTGTTCATAAGGACATAAGGCTTCTTAATTTATCTGGCCATATATCAAATTTATTTATACCTAAAATGATATTGTAATACTCTCACAGTTTATTTTAAAATAGGACTTTATGCCATTGTCTATCTTTGCCTGTGGTGGTCACATGCACTAAAGTTCTAATTCACACGTGCTTAGACACCCACTAATATGGGTTTCCGTAACTGCCCATCAGGAGGGGAGTCAAGACTTTCTGCTTTTCAATTCCAGACTTCCCTGAGTCTCAGACTCCTTATCTATAAAATGGGATAATAAATACCCACTTCATAGGGCTGTTGAGAGGATTAAATGAGTTAATACGTCAAGTGCTTAGAACAGTACCTAACACATAGTAGGCACTCAATAAATATTAGCTATCATTAACAGAATACTAGCTCTTCTGCTTTAAAAGACAAAAAGAAAGCCAACATTTACTGAGTACTTTCTAGACACCAGGCATTTTTTCAGAAATCCCACTAGGACAAAATGGACACCTACTACAAAACCAAGACAGCATTTTTAATGGTCTCCTAGGACCCTAGAATAGTGTTTGTTAAAGTGTAGTCCATGGACTCCCTCCCTTACGTAAGAATCACATAGGACATGTTAAAAATACAGATTTCTCAGTCTAATCAGAATCCTTGTAGATGGAGCCTAGAAATCCATATTTTTAATGAGAATAGCATGTTGTTTCTTAGGAGTACTGAAGTTTGAGGAACAACTGTGTTTGACAATTCTGAATAGTACAGAACAAATTTAAGTATGGTACAGTAGACCGGGCACTGGACCAGATATTAGAAGACACAGATATAGATTCAACTTCCAATTCTAACACTAGGTATATGAATTTAAGCAAGATGTTTTTTCTCTCAACTGTAACTTCTTCATAGAAAATAATGTCTGCCTGCTTATCATAAAGTTGCCAAGGAGATGGAGATCATATACATGAAAGTACTTTGAAAACAATTAAGTACCACATGTAAGCATATCAATTAAGTGGAACAGAACAACAACCAAAAAAAAACCACAATAAACTTCATTTCTAATTGAGAACAATTTAAAATTGCAAGTTTTTTTTTTTTTAAATAAATTAAATGTCTTTGCTATCCAAAAATGTTGCAAATTTAAATAATTTTACCTTACTGTCTGATTCAGTTTCTGACATGGAGCTTTCTGAAGATTTATGTGATCTGTTCTTCTTTTTCTTTCTCCTTTTTCCTTGTTTTTTATCCTATATAAAACAGTTTTAGAGACACTTGCTGTTTCAAAAATATAACTTATGCATTTTTTTAATATCAAATCTTTATTGTTGAACTAAACTTAATGAGGACCAGATTATAAGTATAGTTTTCCTTAATAATTAGTACTCAAAATGTAACAGATCACTTCCCTGTTTTATAAAAAGTACTTAAATACCTAGCTATCAATTATTCATGTCAGTGCTCTCAGTTATGGATAATTAATCAAAAGCTGGAAGTAAACATTTCTAACAGATATTTCATTATGAGTTTCATCTTGACATGAAAGAAATATTATTTCATGAATCATTACAAGCAAATCTTACCTCATCTTCAGAATCTGAAGAACTGCTGGAAGAATCAGAGCTTGATGAAGAAGAAGATGAATACTTGACCAAGCACAAAACAATTAAAGCTTGTGAGATGCAAGAATTTTTTTCTGTTAAATCTCTCAAATACATAGTGAAATCAGTCTTGTGTCTGAGAAACAGATGCCCACGTTCACAAGACTTACGTATTAAAATATAAAATGTAAAATATCAAACTCCCCTGCAAAAAAAAAAAAAAAACCCAAACCCTCAGCAAAGTAACCTATGTGGCAAATGGTAGTCAATTTTCCTTCTTTAATAGCAATCGAGGAGTTCCTAGGTTACAAGGAGGCTGACCCCTTTCTTTCACGTCACTGACAGAACAAAACCACCCATTACACTCAAAGGGCCTCCTGCTCTTTGACTTGTCTAGAGTCTAAGTTACCTTTAGCACACAGGTTAAATAAATCATTCTTACTTTTTTTGTAGGCTCTTAAACCATAACATTTAGAAAAATGGAAAACTTTTGCTCACCCTACCAGATTTCTTCTTTTCTTTTTTCTTTCTCTAAATGGAAACAAATACAAGTCTAAATAAATTGATGTGAGTTTTTAAATATATATACTAGTAGTAGTACACAGCATTATTATGAAAATCCAACTATGAGATTAAAAAGAGCAATAAACCAAAAATGCTATTACCTGTCTTTTTTTGGATGAGCTCTCACTTCCACTTAATAGTTTCTCCCTGTGTTTTTCCAGTTCTTTCTTCCAGTTCTGCAAAAAAGGGTATAAGCACCATCAGAGACTATTCCTTTGCGATAACAATTTATAAAACACCTAATCTACAGAGACAGCCACTATTCCTTCTCTCAATCCTCTAACACCCCTCACTCACCTTGTGAAAGGGCTCCAGTTACCAATGTCCTCAAAGACTCTGCACTTCCCCACCCCAACCCCTGAAAATCACAGCTGTCAAAGTCTCTCTCTACCCAACATTTTATTGATCCCAACGGGAACTGCTGATAGTGGAGTCTCAGCCTCTAATTAAAGTCAAAAGATAGCCAGGTGCCAGAATCCTTGACCTGATCACCAAAGGAGCCGCTACTACCTCTCTTCAAAGAGGATATTAAGAGGTCAGAGTTCTCTACTGTATATTGAGAAGAGTAGGTATTACTACTGAGGCTGAAGCCTTTTTACTTTATCAATAAAGATGGTTAGAGTCTCTTCCCAGACTGCAAAAGTTGAATTAATCCCTATTGTGGTTGAAATACTACATACATGTTTATAATTAAAACAAGCAAACATCACTATGAAAACTGCAGGAAGGACTGGGGGAGGGAGAAGAATCTAACATTAAATAGCTTAGATAATTTAAACTGCTGAGTATAAAATGGTTACTCTCTATTTTTTTAAGAAAGCATACATCTACATACAAACCTGTATTTCAACATAACAAAAACACTTCTAAAATACAGAGCTGTCTTAACCTACAAAACTGCAAGCTACATATATGGGGTAGAGCTTTCAGAAAGCTGATTTTAGGCTATGGTCCGGTGTTCAAAATAAGTCACTGGCAGGAAGGACAACTATGGATGTAGAAATTAATTTACAAACATTTAAGGTAGAAAACAGGACATCAGTCCTGAGTTTATTCTTATTATAAAGTACTGCCCCCTCCCTAAGAAAAACTGAGAGAATGGGAGCCTAGGAGCTAGGACGGTGCTCCTTTAGCATGCTAGCTGAGTTAGAAGGGATAGAAGGGAAGTAAAGAGGACAGGAGAGAGAGATTGCCAGAACTACAACAGGTTCAGTTAGGACACCTGTGCTAGGAATGGATGAAACGAGGAATGGTGGGAGGGTTGTTTACTTCCCAATGGTCAGGTAGTCTGCTGAGCAGATGGACAGAATTGAAAGTAGACAGTAGCTCCAGTTAAAGCCACGAGTTTCCTGATGTAATGGCAGCCAAGAGGAAAGACTCAGGAATGTCTGACTAGTATCTGTAGTAGACACAAATGTATTCTTCTGGTAACAGACACCACTCTTCTAGCCTCAAGGCTGGGAATGCAATTCAAGTTGGCCTGAATCAGACTCCTTCCCTAGGAACTTCTAAATTGAGCTGAAGGAAAAAAGCTTTCATTTTTTAAATATTTGCTTTCCTTTAAAAATCAAAGCTCTAAAGACACTAATCTTGAGATTTTAGGAGCTACTCCCCATGGACCACCCACCACTGTATGGCCAAGTCTGCAGTAGGAGAGAATTAATGCAAAAGACAGAGAGCAGCAAAGGTAAGAAATGGAGGGTGTCCTGAGGGAACATCAAAACCTGGTTCCCGTATTCTGAGACCAGCACAACCCTGCCCTTTTCATCTTTTGAGTCTGTATGCCAAAAAAATTCGTATTTTTGTTTATACAAATTCAAGCTGATTTTGTCATGTGCCCCAAAGACCTAACACAGTAACATAGAGGAGGAAATTTTAGACAAAGTGGATGAGGAAAGAGGAAGAAAAGAAACATATGGTGAGCAAAAAAAAATCTAGCACCACCAACCAAAAGGCAAGTGGCAAGCGCTCAGGGCAACCATTCACACCCAACAAACAATGTTTAAAGTCACAAACTACTGTAGTTAAATTAGCAGACTCACATTTTTCCTCTCAGTAATCCTTTTAAGAAAAGCATAAAACTTAAGAAATGTAAAACAAAACTGGTGGGAGCAGGGCCTTCTGTGACACTGACCCACTGATTCCTAAAAGTCAGCCTTTTTGTTTTCTGGTAGAAAATAAAAATATAAAATGTATGAGCACTACCCCAAAAAATCAAATGGATGCCACCCTTTAAACAGTCCATATGGCATCCACAACATCAATGTTATAGCAAGAGTGAGAGGGTATGTGTAAGAGTCAAACTTAAAAGTGATATTGTGGTTAGTGGGAAAGAGGGATATGTTGTTAGGCCTGGCAAACAGATCAGTGTTGTAAAAGAACTATGCCGAAACTCAGTTTATTAAAAAAATTAAATATATGAAAATGATTTCAGTTTTCTTATTATAAAAAGACTAGTCTTTTTTTATTCAAGGTACTATTTACAAACCTCATTCATTTTTTCTTCAAATTCAGCCAATGCCTTGGAGCCCTTCTTTTTCTTTTCTAGTTGCTCTTTCACTTCCTCCCTTAAAAAACAGAAACATATAAACAAGTTTTCATGGAATTCAAGTTGGAGATAGATGCTTCAAAATTTTTTTCAGCACAAAAATATTAATTTCATAAACTGTAATAAAAATGTGTCTTTTAACAGTGGGAAAAAGTACAAATAAGACGGCAAAAGTTTCATAAATAAAATTCTGTTAATATGCAATAAAGTTCCATTTCAGTGTTGATACTTGCAAAGTTCTTTGTTCCGTTCCATGTAAACCAATGACCATAATCAAGCCCATTAGATAACACTAATCACTTCTCTTTTAAACATGGACTATAAAAGCAAATACATCTAACATGTGAACACTTACTATATAATAGGCATTGTTTTCAATACATTTTAATGTAATCGTCACAACAACTCTGTAAGAAAAGGTATTATTATTAGCCCCATTTTACAGCTAAAGGAGCTGAGACTTGGAGACGGTAACAAATCTGCTTAAGGAGACACAGCTAGTAGTTTCAGTATTAGGGAGAGGTAAGGTCAACTTAGCTGAACTACTATATTCTATTCTATTACTACATTCTATTATTAAACCACCCATTTTATAATGTACCTCACATGTACAGAAAGAGTTAACACAGCAGGCCTGACTACTTATCCTTAGGAAACGTTGCTTATAAGGTTGGCCCTTGGTTGGCGACTGGGAACTTGGATTTTGTGAGGGTTTCCACCATTCTCTGATACGAGTGGCTCACCGTGCCTAAACTGTAAAAATATGATTTATGCTGAGCACTGCTTTCCTTCCGGGACTCTAGAAGTTAGTACATGCCAGGCAGAGGCCGCCTATGTGACCAGCCCCCAGGAAGAAGCCTAGGCACTGAGTCTCTATTGAGCTTCCCTGGTTGGCAACATTTTCATATGCTGTTCAAAACTCATGACTGGGGAAATTAAGCATATTTTGTGTGATTCTACTGGGAGAGGCTCCCTGGAAGCCTGTGCATGGTCTCCCTCAGACTTTGTCCCATGCGCCTTTTCCCTCTGCTGATTGTGCTTGGTATCCTTTCACTGAAATTAAAAAAAACCGTAGCCATGAATATGAAGATATGTTGAGTCCTTTGAGTCCTTCTAGGAAATTATCAAACGCGAGGTTTGTCCTGAGGACCTCCAACAAACATTTCTCATTTAAAGATCATTCCCGCTCCCCAATTTTAAAGACAAAATATACTTAAAGACAAAATATATTCTCTGGTATGGTGCAGCAGATAACAGTTAACAATAGCAGTTAACAATAGCACTGATGACCACTGTTTAAGAGGTGAGCAAGGCTTACTTCCTATTTACTCAAAGGAAGAATTCCCCATTATATACAAGCACACATTTCAACCATAGGTGCCAAGCTTTCAGAGGCACTTAGAAGGATTCTGAAGCTAACAGCTCTGAAGCTTGTCATGTATCACTCCAGGAGTATGCTCCTAATAATAAAAGAAATATTAAAACAATAATAAGGCCAGTGCTACAATGCTTTATTTACAAACGATCAGTCACTCAATGATGGCAAAAAATGCCAAACAAAAATTTTACAATAGGGAGCTCTAACTCATTGAAAAGCCAAAGGATAAAACTAGAAATAAGGTCAGACATTATCCTTCCTAACACCTGGTTACATTTCAATGAACAGTGAAATTATTCAAACTCACCATTTTAAATAGCTTACATACCATCCGCAAGGTTAACATCTCTTTTAGGGGATAGAGAAGAGATTGGTATAAAAGGTTATCTGGCAGTGCTTTAGCCATACTGGGTAGTGGAGTCTCAAACGTTTGTTTTACAGTTATACATGTATTTCATATACTCAGAAGAAGCTACGTATCAAATATTACTTTAAAAATTACTTATCTAGCAATTGCTCAGTAATCAATAAAAGTTGTAAAAATATACTTTAAAAAAGTTTATAAGAAGCTTATAAAAAAGTAAATTGTTTCACAAATACCAGGTGGGCCTTGGTCGATTCAGATAATCTTGTATCGTTGGCCCTGAAGACTGGATTGGACCCCTTGATCTGGCCATTGCTATTGGGTTCATATACGCCTTGAGAAAAGAACAAAAATTAATTCCACTAAAGTATCTATTAAAAATGCAAAAGCACATTCAGTTATCAAGCAATCTTTATTGTAAATGTGTACTATATCCAACTAAGCATGAATAATCTGACTAACCAACTTTTCATAATGAAAACTAAATTAAACCCTCTATTAAGTCTTGCAAATTTAGGAAATAATATCACCAATTCATAGAAAATGTGTTTTACCAGGGATTTAATGCAGGGCTTTACAGTGCTTTTTCTTTAAAGGCCAATAACCCTGTGTGGATGATAGCACTCTGTTCATTGGCAGATGAAGAAATTCAGTTCCAAAGGAGTTTAAAAAGATCTAACTCTAAATTTATTCCTTACTCTTAACTTTTATTCCAGAAAATACTGTGTCATACTGATGACAATTTTATTCACCAATTAAGACAACAAAAAATTAAATTATGCTGTGTACACTGTACTTACTATAGCAGAAAAACACTACTAAATTTTAGAGATTTTTTTCCCAAAAATATCTGGAGACAAAACAAAGCAAAAGGTTTCTCTGCTAATGCAAAGAGATGTAGCTATTTTATTAAAATTCACTTTATCTGCTATAGCTATAAAATATGGTCTTAATTCAGCCACAACTTCTTGATACTAATTCAGTTTTTTCAAATTTAATTCAGGTGAACAAATATTTATTAAAAAAACCTCCAAATTTTTAAATATAAATAATTTTGGTTAAAAATGACTATTATCAAGATTAACCTTAATGCCTTAAATCTACTTAACATTCCAAAAGAAGCAAAATGATACAATGTATTTGTTGCATTTTATTTAACAAAATCTGTAAAAATGACCAACTGTTATGGATTGAGTTGTGTCCCACAAAAGTATGTGATGTAAATCCTGACCTCTACACCTGTGGTTATTTATAATCCCATCTGGGAATGGGCTGTCTTTGTTATGTTAGTAAAACAGAATTAGTGTAGGCTGTTCTTGAGTCAATCTCTTTTGAGATATAAAAGAGATTTAAACAAGCAAGCAGAGATGGGGGAAGAAAGATGCCAAGCTACATGAAGACTGCCCAGGAGCAGAAGCTCAAAGAGAGAAGGACCTTCCTCCAGAGCCAGCAGATAAAGAAAACCTTCCCCTAGAGCCAGCACTCTGAATTCGGACTTACTGCCTCCTAAACTGTGAGAATATAAATTTGTGTAAGATAACCACTTGTGGTATTTCTGTTACAGCAGTACTAGATAACTAAGACAGTGACATTCCCCATCTTTATAACAAGTTATGTATTTACAAATTTCTCTAACACAGTAAACAATATAAAACTACCATAAATAACACAGTATACTGAAAACTACTGCCATTCAGCTGGACACTGCCTAATTACTTGGAATGAAAAACACAAACTTCAAACATAGTTTTCCTACAGAACGGAACTAAAGCTAGAGTTCCTAGTGTCAGGGATATTTATAGAATCAGGGCTAGATGTGGATATCCATTTTTAAAAATCTGAATACATGTACACCAAAATGTGAGGGAAGATGTCCACTTTCATCATTTCATACACTGAAGAAAAACTTACGTGATGCTAAAGACAGAGGCATACATTTATATTTTTTATGTAAATTATGCCCTCAAATATTTCCTTCAACTGCCTTTGCTAAGAATTTCAATCTTTTTGTGTGGAAATGTGACAACCAATGAAGGCCACAGATAGAAGAGTTGTTAGCCTGACTAACCACACTACTGACAATTCTAGTAACAGAAGCAAGTACAATGTACAACCTAAGTTCATTATTTATAAAACAGGAGTGTTATTCGGATCACTTTTGATTTCTTTGGTTTCATGTCATAATTTTAGCAATATCTAATTCACCACCTGTCAGCTTGTTGTACTGTGGAGGCTTACATGTTGCTATGATGCTGGAAGCTATGCCACTGGTATTTCAAATACCAGCAGGGTCACCAGTGGTGGATAGATTTAGCTTCCAGACTAAGGCAGACTAGGAAGAAAGGCACGGTGATCTACTTTCAAAAACTAGCCACTGAAAACTCTATGGAGCAGTTCTACTCTGCATACTTGGGGTAGCCATGAGTTAGAATTGACTTGACTGCAACTAACAAACAAGGCTTTTTATAGCTATTATGCAACAGTTTGAAAAATAATGCTCCTCACACTAACAGGGTGGATGGTTAGGCATTAGTTAAAATACAGAAATCGTGCAATTTCTCAAAACATCTTATTAAGACTTAATCACTGTAAGTACCATGATCCTGCAAATCAAATCATCTACATGCATATGTAACTAGAATTGTCTATGACTGCCACTGTTGCATGAGTTTGGGTAACAGAAAACGAATTCCTTTTGAAACTCAGGATGGTAAACTGGGCTTGAGGAAATATAAATGTGGGCAGGCATGAACAGAGCAATGCAGTAAAACTGCTAAGGACACACTGTGCAGAATGTCATATGTTACTTTGATTACCTATTTTCATTTTGAGGCTATATCTACTTTAGAGGGCACAATGTAACAACAGAAAAGAACATGAACTAAACTTCAGGAAAACAATGGGCACAAAGGGTGGCCATCACTGAAAACCTTTTAAAAAAATCTGAGAATTAAAAATGTTAAGTTAAAAAAAAGACTGTTCAACCTGAAACTTAATGATTTTTTTGGAAAGCAATCCTCTCAACATTAAAACAATAACTGTACCATCATGTGAGAAGACTAGAAATGCTTCGAAGACAATCTTGAAAAATGTCAATATTTTCAGAGGCAAACAAATGTCCATTTTTATTACTCAAAATCAGAAGGTGGTATGATGTATTGAACTGAATGTCAGATGATCCAAGTTTTGTCCCAAGTTTAAGCAGTTCTGTCAGGCTTCCCTTTCCTCCGCCTCCATGCAACGAGGAGACTGAATTAGACAATCTGTAAGTATCTCCCACCTCTATAATGTCATGTTTTTCATTCCCACAACCTCTGAAGTATAAACAAAATGTTATCAGAACACTGTGCCATGATAGCATACCAAAAGTAATACGTGGAGCCCAGAGTTGTTATCAAAATGCTCTGCAAAACAATTTGATAAAATTTTCAGATGCTTTAAAGGGACGTGAAAGCCAATACTTTTTCCAGTAAAACAAAACGTTTTAGGCCTCTGTATGAAACTGTAGGAGTCTTGGTGGTGGACTGGTTAAGAGGATGGCTGCTGTTCAAAAGGTGGGCAGTTCAAATCCACCCTTGGAAACCTTATAGAGAAGTTCTACTCTGTCCTATAGGGTTGCTATGAGTTGGAATTGACTCAGTGGCAACGGGTTTGATATGAAACTGAACTCAAGGTCAAGTAATTTCTATACGTTCAAGGCCCAAAGCCATTAAAGAGTCCAAACACTAATACCTCAAGCGTACGGATTCTCCAGCATAATACTATTTCAACTCTACGAGAGTCAGGATATTACAGTGAGATCTGACCCGCAGCCAGGAAAGCAGAAAAGAACACGTCTCAACTTTGTAATCAAGGTTTGTTACCACAGTGGTTCAGAGCCATTTTCAATTACAAAAACATATAAAATTAAAACAAATGTTTTTAAGATGGGAAATGTCATCATTTCATAAAAGGCTCTTTTAAAAAGCGCACACACAGCACAAAGGAAATAATCGTCAAAAAAGCTAGTTCGTTAAATTTAGTATATTAGCTTTAACTGCACTTTTCTCATCTTGCTGCTCAGTAGTTAAAAACTCTGTCATAGATAAGCCTGGAAACTATTAGGCTGGAAGCTAATCTTATTGCTACTCGCTTATGTTTACCACTCGTACAACCCGGCTTACCAAACCAACCACCCTCCTCTCCTCAGCGATCTCTACTTCTGAAATGCCCTTCTCCCATCTTCACCTGTCAAAAGTACCTTTTTTCTGAATTCTCTCAAAACTCTATCAGCCACCGTTTCTTACTCTTTCCGCTATTATTTATGTATCTCCTTTACCAAAGTAATAACTTTCGCCAAGCAACTGCCTGGGCATCTTGCCTTATGTGGTCTCAACTACTCTGCAAGGTGTGGGTAACAACGAACCCCTTTTACAGACGAAGAAATGAAGAAACTGAGGCTCAAAGAAGAAAAGCAACTCGTCCTGGGTTACCCAATTCCCAAGGGTCCAGAACTAAGACTCCAGTCTGTGCGTGACTCCAAAGCCAACTATTTTCACGCTATTCATTCCTTCACAAAGCCTATTATTAGGTGCCGGGCAGTGTCGGTCGCTGGGGACACAAAGCCAAATGCTGCGATCACCATTCGCAAACTGGAGCCTATCTGCCGCTATAAGTGGGCGCTCTGCAGGCCCCCGAGTGCAGGAGCTGCGTTCGAGGGCTACGCATCCCTGAGGAGCGCTGCGCAAAGCGCCTCCATCCAACTTGGGTGCTCAAGAGAAGAAGGCGTGGAGCCGGGGTGAGCTAACTGGAGGCACGGGCGTGTCCCGGAGCCTCCAAGGGCTTCAGACTGCAGGAACCTACGGGAGCGGGCAGATCTCTTCCAAGCTGTTACGGCTCTAAAAACTGGGCACTACTGGCCCGGCTGCGGGCGGAAAAAGAGCCAGAAAGCGGCGCCAGAGGGTGCGGCGGTTTGGGGAGAGAATAAGGGGCCCGAAGCCGCCAACTATGTGAGCGGCGCACGCGCATCTAGGGCCGGCGGGACTGCCGGATCTCCGGGCCTGAGGTCCAAACGCGGCCGCTGGCCCTCAGCCTGGGAAGGGAAGGAAGATGGGCCTCGCTGTCCTGCCGTCGGGCCCCACGTCACCCCATTGGTTTCCCCGCCGGGCACTCACCACCCGATTGTCCCGCTTCCCCATGGTGCTGGAGGGCTTGAGAACTGCACGGTCAGATGCCAAGGGAGACCAAGCCTCACAGACAGCCAAAGCCGGCCCGCCGCAGTTCCTTCTGCCTTTTCCCACCCCGCCCAGAGAGCGGCGCCGCGCGGATCCGGGCGGCCACGCCCGGCCACAGCGCCCCCTGCCGCCGCGGAGGAGAGGCAGGCGCCGGCGACTACCCGCGGGTCCACGGGTCGCGTAGGGATTCCTGTTGTTTATCACCCACCCAAGATCCGGTAGGTACTGCCCGTCTGTACTCCCCGCAGCCTCACCAAGGCAGCTCTCTTCCGTTTGCCTTGGATCGTTTTGCTTTCTTCCTTTCTTCATGAGCAGAAATACTCGTTGTAAGGGATACCAAGATTTACTGCAACGCTTACTCCAAGACATAGTGTGCGTGGCATTGTGCAAGTGCTGGAGATAAGATGAGGACCAGAAATGACGTGATCCATCACAGAGTCCATCTGCTGGTGGGGGAGAAAGATAGTGCTGTCACAGATGTAGCTAACGAAATTGCTCTTTTAGCTCAATTCCATTCATGTATTCATTTCACAGGTATTTACTGAACATCAGCTTTGTGTAAACCGCTTGATGGGTGACCGAAAGCTGGAGCTGGGGCAGGACACAAAGATGATTAAGAAACACTCTTTGCCTTCTAGGGGCCTCCTTATAACTAGGTGGGGGAGCTGAACATACACATGGCTAACTCTACTGCGCTCATGGCATAACATTGTCATGCAGTACTGAAACTTCAACGGAGGTGACCTGGGCTCCAGAGAACAGTATATTATATTTATTAAGTATTTACAAGACTTGGATAAAGCTAGGCCCCTTTGGATCCATCTCAGCACAGTGTCATTAGAGATTAATTGAAAATCAATTTGGATCTTTTTCTGGACTCTTGGTTGGAAAAAATTGCAAAATGCGGCTTATACTAATTACATATAAGAAAACTCCTTAAAAGCATCTTTCCTAATCTTTGGTTCCCTCCCTCACTTTTTCATACTGCATTGCTCAACAGATGCTCCAAACTCCCATTTTCTT